ATCGAACAGAACTGCCTGGTAAGCCGTATGCAGAGAGGTCGAAGAGGACAACAAATGAGGGGCTGTCACAAACCGTTTCATCGGAGTTTCACCGACTCGTCCGGAGGCAGAACCCATATATATTTATACATATGTATCATACTTGTGGCACATACGTGAGGTGTGGTGCACAGTGCGGTGCGCTGATCGCAGATGCGCGACAAAAAAAAGAAAAAAGTAACAGTGATGTGTGTATACACGCTGGAGAGAGAGAGAGAGAGAGAGAGAGAGAGAGAGAGAGAGAGAGAGAGAGAGCCCTTTCACATTATTCAGAAAACCCCTGCCCGTACTTCAAAATGTCCCTGCCAAAAGTTAGCAAGGACGTCATCAGCAGGAGAAGAACAGTCGCTGGGCTTGTAGTAAGGAGGGAGCAGGCCAGGTATATACGGTGTAGCTTCGAATTCAGGTCCGTGTTCCAGCAGTTATGGCTTACTGACTTACTAACTCGGCATGTGATTTTCAGGGCTTCAGTCCGCTACTCACCAAATGTGCAAAACTACTCCAAGAAACTGGAACCATACAAGCCATATGCTTTTCTTTTGTGCAAGTGCTGATGAGTGGAGCGAGGCCCTTAGGGTCACTGCACGTAAGAAAAGGAAAAACAAAAAAACGAGACAGCTACTGTAGTATTTGGAGTAAGTTCGGAACCCATGACTCTTGGAACACAGACCTGAATCCGAATCCAGAATATATTGCTGGCCTGCTCGTGTTCCTCCAGCAGTTCAATGAACGTCCTTCCAAATAAATAGGATCCGCCCTAATTCTTTGCAGGGGACCCTTTGGAAAAGAGGCTAAATCCAATGAGTACGATTTGGCCCCAATTTCTTTTTTTTTCTGTGCACTTACTATTTTCAAAAGGGAGGCACACATTTGGTTACCACAGCCTGCCCTTTTGATTTTTTTAATTTTATTATGTATATACGTATATGGGTCCTGCCTGCCACCTGATGAGTCGGTGAAACTCCGATTAAACGGTTTGTGACAGCCCCTCGTTTGGTGTCCTCTTCTCCCTCTCTGCATACACCTTACCAGGCAGTTCTGTTCGACGATGCTGCCCGGTAAGCCATATGCAGAGATGGAGAAGAGGACAACAAACGAGGGACTCTGACAAACTGTTCCGTCGGAGTTTCACGGCTCATCGAGATCCCCTAACTGATTGCACTGTAAGTGATAATCCACCTTAACCCCGGTTGTGGTGACTGGCCGACAACTGATGACGTGGGCACCAACCACTGCCCTCAAGTTACCTGTGATGAAAATGGAAGCAGACTATCACTCACCCACACCAGCTGGAAAACTCAACAGACTGCAGGTTCTTTTTTTTTTACCGTTTGTTTCGCAAAGTGCACTCTTTATGTGACAATATATATGAGGCACGGTGTAGGGGGAGTTAAAAGAAGAATGAGAAAAATGAATGGTTTCAGTGTACCCCTCATCTTCGACTTGTTTTTTAATCTTTACCGTTTGTTTCGCAAAGTGCGCTCTTTTAGTTCATAGTTATTAAAAGGGCCTTTACGATTCAGACCCCTAAATGTGACCCCAATTTAAAAGGGGCCCTGTCGGCCAGAACTCAATTTCACGAGCAGCATTCCAAAGGAAAAGTTCCCTGAAGCAAATGTCGCATCCAGAGTGAAATGAAAAGTCGTTTTGAAAAGTCACAGTCAGGTCCTAGACGAACAGGTACTGGGCTCAATTTTAAGGCTGAGACAGGGTCATGTCTGTTCGGCAATAAGTCAAAGGTCACAGTCCCAGACGAGTCACAGTCCCGAGGGTCAAATCTGATCCAGACCAGAAGTCCAAAAGACAGGCCCGTCGGCCAAAGCAGCAGCAGACCATGGGAAAGGATTCTGGGGGACACACTTTGCAACAACAGGTACTTGGTTGGAGTCCCAGGTACTTGGAGGCTGGATGCAGACCACGCCAGACCAGTCCAGCACTATAAAGGACTAGCCAGCCTCCCATTTGACAGATGCTCATTCGCACGAGAGTGTGGAAGTGCTTATGCACTTGTGCGCTAGTTGTGAGGAGCAGCGCTATGTCAGGGAGCAGCGCCAGGGAGGGATGAGAGAGAGAGAGTTGGGCGCTTGCTGGAAGAAGAGCAGCCATAGCTGCACCAGCGCCAGTTAGTAATAGTGATAGGAACAGTTAGTAGAGAAGACCAGTGAGAAGTATTCAGAGTAGATCCTCGTGTGTTAGGGAGTGTGCATGTATGATGAGTGTGAGTAGAGGAAGAGAGAGAACAGAGAAAGGGAAGGGAGAGAAGTGAGCTATGGTGGACCCTACCTGCTGGGCGCTATTCTTGGTGAAAGGCTGCTGGCGCTGAAGAGCGCCAGGCCTGGAACTCTTGCTGGACGAAGAAGACTTGTAATACTGTTGGGCGCTTGTGATTCTCTTTCCTTAATTTGGTTGTGATAATTGAGTTGCGTTTCCTGGTTACCACTCATCCTCCAGTGAATTTTGTGTGAGACATTGCAAATCTGTGAGATCTGTGTTACATGCATGTTATTTGATACACTCCAGCAAGAGACGAACGAACAGGTTCCTTGCAATGTGACAATATTATAAATAAATATAGATTTTAAATATATAGTCTGTGAAACTCCGATGAAACAGTTTGTCACGGCCCCTCGTTTGTTGTCCTCTTCTCCCTCTCTGCGTACGGTTTGTCGGGCAGCTCTGTTTGATGATATATGTACAACTCCGATGAACCAATTTGTCACAGCCCCTCGTTTGTTGTCCTCTTCTCCCTCTCTGCCTACAGTTTACCGGGCAGCTCTGTTTGACGATAAGAAGAATGAGAAATTTAATGGTTTCAATCTGCCCTTGTTTTTTCTTTTTCTTTTTATTTTTGCATGTTATCACTGTGCCCGTTTTTTGCTTTTATTCTTTGTTCCGCAAAGTGCGCTCTTTTAGTTTGTAGTGATGTGACAATATATATGAGAAACGGTTTTCACCTATCTGCAGTCACAGATGCGGGCACTAGAGTTTGATCCCCAGGGCCCAGACCTTACCTTGCCCATGTACAGTATCGAGTTGACCCCCGAGTGTTTGAACCCGCGATCTGTATTTTGGTAGTTGTTTGTTGGTTGTCGTAGGTCTGTGTAGTTGTAGGGGTTCAATCTGTGGACCCGTTGAGTAGGGGTCACACCTCTGTAGAGGTCGTAGCTGTAGGTGTTCTGAAAGGTCAAGGTCGTAGCTGCTACAGTACTCGAAAGGCCAAGTCCACAGACTTCCGGAAGGTCC